TTAGGCTCACCCTTGCCTTTAAATTATTGTTATTATTATTGTAACTACTATTACTATTATTACTATTAGAACTATTATTACTGTTATTATTACTATTATTACTACTTTTACTGTTATTAATGTAATAACTGTCATTACTGTCATAGCTATCATTACTATCATTACTATCTGTTAAATTAGTTAATCTTATTGTTGAATGGACGTGAAGAAATGTGTATTTATTCGTGAGGGAAGCGTGGTTAGGTTGCATAAATAATCACTCACTGTTTATAAGTTGTTGTTTTGCTTTAATTAATATAGAATATACATGGTAAGGTTTACAATAGTTTTATAATAGATCTCTACGTGAATGCATTCAACGACAACAATACAATTGGTACAAATCAAAGGCGCGTCCCACCTACCTGGGTTACACTTTACTAGAACTAACTCGCGAAAACGAGGGCGCGAATTATAAAGAAAAAGAGAGAGAGAGTGCCGGTCGTGCGTCTGAATAACTGGATATACTCTCACTGGCAGGTTCTCGTGATGACTCACCGACTGACACAGATGTTAATTAATTCTACAGACCTGTGTTTGGCTGCGATCACAACTGTTCCCTTCGCGCACCGATCTCTCGGTCAGCCTCAGCGTAACGCAAAGGAAGGCACGGTGAAGGTTAAGGGCTCTGGCTCCGTACACGGACGTCTCGGTCTGCTTCAGCGTAGCACGGAGTTCGAGTTACTGTGGTGATGGTCGAGGTTCCAGTTTCTCCGTGTCCGATAATCTCGGTCAGCCTCAGCGTACCACGGAGGATCACACCGACATTGAACGCCTGGTCTCTGCCTGTGGCTCAAGGTACCGCGAAGCCGTGCTTTAGCTCTCCCGCCCGCCGTTCCCGCACCTCTCCGCGTGTCACGACAGACCTTTCAAAGCCCCCCGGGACCCCACTTGAAAGATTGTCTTGTTAGGCACCGAAAAGGGACAGCTTAGTATGATCTGAGCACCACCGCCTATCCATTTAAGCTCTGTTCTCTCGTCCGCGCGTGTTCGTCGTTCATACTCGAATGCCTCCAACTTGAAGGCCCTTCGCTCGCTCTCCTGCCTCTTCCTCCCTTCTCTCCCGCTGTTATGTACGCAAACCACTCGATGGCGCCACTCTTTGCGCAACGCGATGCGCAACTTAAGTTTCAATCGTCGTCGTGCTTAAATCTCCCGAACACTATCGTTACTATCATTACTGTCATCACTATCACGACCATCATCGTTATCATCATTATCATCACTATTATCATCAACATCATCATCATCATCATAATTCTTATTATCATCATTATCATTATTATTATTATCCTGATTATTACTATTATCATTATTATTATTATTCTAATTAAGAAGGCCACTAAGGCCACCAACGCACAGTCACTCATCGGCAGAAAGGTGATATAGCAAAGCGGTCCACAGGAGCCTGCCCGCATTTAAACACCCACGCAAGCCCCTATCCCGCACACCCACTGCCCCGCAACCACACCGCGGAAGCCCAGCCCCCCTCCCCAAACAAAAAAAAAGGTAGGGCAGCGCAAGCGAATCACCTAAGAGCATGGGCCACCAAGCCACACCTGCTTATCAGCAGGAAGATGATAGAGCAAAGAGGCCACCCCCGCCACCACCCCCTTAAACACCACGAGCACTGCAGCGGAAACACCACCTCACGCCCCCACGACAGCACCGGACCAACGTTCTCACCACAGAGCGCCCCCTGCTTCTACGCGGTCGTCGAGAAAACCGTCCTCCTTTTTGGACTGGAGAACTATGTATGTATGTATTAGGCTACTGCAGTCCGTCTTTCTTCGTTGAGTAGAATTTTATCTATAACGTTATGGGGATTAAAAGTTCCGATCCTTTCTTGCAACACATTTCGTTCGGCTTGCCACTTGGTGCAGTCAAAGAACGAATATTCTGCGTCATCTTTATCGTAGCCGCAGTACTTGCACGCAGCCGTCTGTGTTTTCCGCATTTTGTTCAGGTACGAGCAAAAATACCCGGGATTCGAGAGGAATTGGGTAAGATAGCAATTTACCTCCCCATGTTTTTGCTTAGTCAACTTCTTGACATCTTTTATTAGGCGTGCCGTCCGTCTACGTCTAGCTACCTTTTGCCATCTGTGTTGTCAGTGTTCCCAAGTTCTTTCCCAGGCGTTTTTTGGCCTCCATTCTTCCTAAGTCCTGCTACGTGAGGTGCTTTAATCATCGTTCCTATTTCTTTTAACTTAGGTGATTTTCACTCTCTTCTTTTCTACGTTAATTTTATCTCCCTTTATCTCAGCCCCGTACAAAATAATAAACTGGGCCATAGACATGAGGAGCCTGCGTTTTGCAGGTTTTGGACCTCTAACGTTTGGCATGATTCGGCTTAATGTTGCTACTCTTGCCACCGCCTTGTCTGCTGCTTGCCTAAGGTGACTCCAGAAAGTGAGCTTTCTATCCAGTGTCATTCCTAGGTATTTTACGGCATCCTTCGTCATTCCATCTTCTTCTTGTACCTTGAGGAGGATGATGGTATCTATCTCTTTCCTCGTCAATAGTACCATCTCCGTCTTCCTTGTTGCAACGTCGAGCCCGTAATTCTCCATCTATAGAACCACTCTTCGCATAACCTGGCTAAGTCGTATCTAAACAAGTTTCGTCGCGCGTTCAACGATCACTACAGCAGCATCGTTCGCGTATCCTACCTAGAACGTACCTTCTGGCATTTCCTGGCGGAACAGTCCGTCGTAAGACACTTTCCAGAGATCAGGTCCAAGTTTGGATCTCTGGAATGCCCCTGTAGTTATTTTCTTCTTTGTTTCGCCTTCTTTTGTCGTATAGATCAAGAAGCGGTCCTTCAGACAATCAGAAGAACGAGGGGTCTCGCTCCATAGCATATGTCTTTGGTACTGAAAACTGCTTTTACTACGTCTTCTACTGTTCCTATGGTAAATCTTCCTTTCCTGAATCTATACTACCTGTCAGATAAGTCTCCCGCGTTTTGTATGGCCCATAGAAGACGTGTCCAGCATGTACAGCGGCCTGAGTGATGACGGGGAGTTAGGCTCACCCTTGCCTTTAACGATCAGTACCAGCTGTGCGTTTTTTCAGGGAGTTGGGAACAACCCCTTCCGCAAACATGCATTGTATAGGTTTAATAGCAGCTGTGGGTGTTTTGCCACCACTGTCTTGATGACTTCTGCCGATATGCCATCTGGTGCAGGGGCTTTTCCGTTCTTAAGCAATCCGGCTGCTAGCTCCAGTTCCTTCTGGGTACATAAAGGTACATCTTTTATGAGCTCCAAGTCTGCTCGATCCTCGAGTTCTGGATGCGTCGTGAATAGCGTATCCACGATATGCCTCATGGTATCCGCGTCTTTATTATTGTTTGGAGTTTGTGCCAGTCTTCCCAGTTTTCTTATCACTATCTGGTATGCTCTGCCCCGAGGATCGTTATTTACTTCCTGGCACAGAGTCTGCCAGCATTGCTTTTTGCTGTTCTTAATAGCAGCTTGCATCGTCTTTCTTGTAAACTAATACTCGGCGTACCTTTGTCTGGCCTCCAGTCTGTTTATGGACCTTTGATAGAGGCGTCTGTGTTCAAGACATTAGCGCCTCAATTCGGCAATTTTCTTGTTCCACCAGTAAGTTGAGTGTTTGCCGTTCGGTCGTTCTTGTTTTTGGCATGGAAGCCTCACATGCGGTTTTTCGGAGTTGTATGGTTGCCTCGGTAAGCTTCTGTACTCCTTTTACTGTGTTCAGGTTTGGTTCATAGCTTTGAATAGCAGCGATGCCATTTTCGACTTTTTTCGCTAGTCGTTCTGTATCCACCTTCTTAATATTCTATCCTGTTTTGCGTGCAATGCCTTTTCTGTCAATCGTGATCGGTCCAGGCCTCTACAGTCGTGTCTTGTGTGCCCATATCCCAGGCACCTGCAACATCGCTGGACGATGATCCTGCGCCTTAGTCGGCACCTGATCCATCCTACTGCTATTGTCCATTTTCTTAAAAGTGACAGAGAGCTAGCCTCGTCCATTTCAGCCAGCGCTATTCTCTCCTGCCATCAATTTGGCGGTAGCATAGCCACTTTGATTTCACCTGGGTCTTCTTCTACGGTTTTAGCAGCCTCTTGGATAGCTGATGTAACTTCTATTTATCAGTGACTGCCTCTAAGTCCAATACCTCCAAGGTAACTCTAGATTTCCTTGATTGTACCTATCCTGCGATTCCGATAGCCAGTGAAATGGCCTGCGTCAACTTCTCCTTGTCTTTGGTGATTTTGGCGAGCTTCACTATAATACAATCAGCGTTTTTGTGCTGAGTATTCAAGTAACTTTCGGGCCGCAGTCTCTCGGGTTGACAGCATTATGTAATGTTCCCAGTACTTCTGCGTATGACTTTCCTCCTGCTGGTTTTACGAGGATGGCCTCATTTCTTTCCATTGCCTTTCTCTACTTCTTTATTTCCTTTCCTGGCTTATTTTTGTTTGAAGTCGGTGTGCTACCTAGCGGCTTCTTTTTAGCAGCCACTTGCTCCTTGCGATTTACAAGTGCCTGTTACCTTTTGTTTACGACTTCCTTCCACAGTTCGTCATCGTCGTCGTTCTTGCTTCTTTTTTGATGCACTTCGATCCTCGGTAGCGCCACCATGTCTACCTCTCTTTTTTGGAGGCTGTCTGACTACACGAGCTGGCAGAGATGTTTTCATCACTAACATCTCTCCAACAGTCTTCTGGCGGCGGCCTTTGAGGTCTTCTCAAAGCCCACAGATTTCTTCCAGGTAAACTCTGGCTTCCTTGACTTTACTCCTGACGTTTGGCTGCCTGTCAATTGCTTTTTTAATACATTGTAGGATGTCTGTCATCCTACCTAGTACTTTTTCCTCCTCCTTTTCTGTGTCGCTTAGGGATTTCTGTAGGTGAGCGACTACCGTTGATTCAGCCAGTGCGAACTGACATTCGTTCTGGCCATTCTGATCTACATCCTGTGATTCGATGGTCTGATCGATTAACCAACCTCCAGTTTTTGTTTGATTTCGGATGCTATGAAGCATAGCATTTTCGTGCTAGACGCCTTTGTGGCTTCCCCTAGAATCCGTGAGACCAATACCAGCCACCCGGGCTTTCACCAGGTCTGAACTGGCAGCAGATTCCCTCTGAGAGGTTACCGCCTGGGCTACGTTGTTTTTATGAGCGTCACCCATGTTTGGTTTCATTCAGGAACGAACCCTAGATTTTTTTACGAGATTTTTCCCTCAGCGTTTTGGTCCACGGAAACTATTTTATTTCGTTTCAAATACCCACGGGCGCAAGCTCCGACCACCGCAGTGCCTCGGAACCATACACCGGCGGAAAGCTGGCCTCCATCCACCACCCGGTGAGCACGCGCCCCATTATTATTATCATTATTATTATTATTATTATTATTATTATTATTATTATTAATAATAATAATAATAATAATAATAATAATAATAATAATAATATTATTATTATTATTATTATTATTATTATTATTATTATCANAGTCCAGTTTATTTAACGTATTTTATTTTTTTCGTATAATTAGTTTACTCAGAAAATGCTCATAAATTAATAAATCTTTTTTATAATTACTAAATTTTTTCGACGTATTTTTCGTTTAAGTCGTAGCCTCATCACTCCTTTCTTAGTAATGAAATTATTTCTTAATTTTTTCTTTCAAAAAAAAAAAAAACGCGCTCTGATACTTACCGCAAGGTGGTGAGGAAACAGTATCTCCTAATTTTAGTATTTTTATTGCGCATTTAAGTACGACTCTGATAATTCATATCAATAATATTAATTATGATACGAATAATAATAATTACAATAATATGAAAAAAAAGTATCATGGTCTAGAATCGAAGAGTACCCAGCTATCAGTCAAGCGTAAGCAAAACGCTTAGTCCGCTCGACCATCGAGAGACACAGGTAGCTATGGTCAATAGTTATATCTAAGTTGTGAGAAGTGGGCGGGGCTTAAGTTAAATGCTAGGTAAGGGGGCTCCCTTACTCCTACTTGCCCGGTGAGAGAGAGAGAGAGCACGGTTCTTCTGCGGTTGCGCTACTAGCTGAGAGCACCCAAGAGAAGTCTTGGGTACATCGCAACACTGCCCGAGACCCATACCAACTATTTTTTCTAACTATACTATATATAAGAAGTTTACAAAATTAATAGAACTTTTCTTAATGATTTGAACGACAAACATTTTTTTATATGTCACAAAATTAATAATTTAAGGTACAAGTACATCATATCATAACCTCAGATAAAACCTTTTTTTACGCAAAATATATACATTATTGTTAAATAACGAGACACTAAAGAATCAAAGCCCAAAAAGGATACGTAGCGGCCTTAGTAATATATGTTTTAAGAGAGACCAGTAGCCACGAACAGTCCAACACTTTTACTTACAATTTTTTTTTAGATCTTACACAGTTGCACGTCTTATAAAAATTAACTTTATTTGTGAAGTTTTTTTATTGTTTGTAACTATCAATAAATGATAATTACTTAAAAATAGCAATATTAGTATACAACTATACTCTTCGTTGTGCGATATTACACATTTAGACTTTTTAATTTATCAACTTTTTGTTCCTGTGTGCACGGCATTGCAAAGATTTTTAATACAGTTCAGTTGTATTTGTTATAATTATTTCAGTCACATATGTTCTAACGTACGTAGACACATAGATTCCGACCAAAGTAATTCTGTCTTTTAAAATAACAATATTTTTCGTGTATTGCAATCCATCCAGAACAAATCGCTACGTCATCATTTTTTTAGGAAACAATTAATACTCGCCCATTCCCAAGAGTTATTTGGCTGTGGTGCATTAAATATAGAAAACAAAAAGTCAGTGTTCGTGTGTTTTTTTTAAAAATAATATTGTACTGTTTTTTGTACAACCTCAACTTCTCCTGAATTATAGGGGTTTTTTTTTTAAACCGTTGGTCTAAATTGTTACGAAAGAAATTAAACAAAGATCAATTTCATTATTATTTTAATACAATTTGGTATTATAATTAATAAATAAACTGTTACATCATGGAGAAATCATTTCCTAATGAAATGAGTAATGATGTGCGAACGAGTTTAATATTTAACACAGTAATAATCCAACTCATACCTGGATAAGTGAATGATAGCTATTATTTGTAAATAAACGTAATTCGTAAGTAAATATTTTATTGTGAGTTTAAAAGAAGACTAAACACACTTAAATTATTAAAAAAATAAATTTTTTTAATTATTTCTTTAATATAGGCTGTTCCGTCGAGGGACGGAATTGAGCGGAAATCTCATCTAGCTTTACATTTCAGAGTCGCATGCACCTCATTTTTCCCTGGAGCCTTGCGCGCGCCCGCCTCCGTCGCTGTTTGGCTTATGTCCCATCGGCGCGGGATCGGGGAGGGGGCTCCAGGACTTGGCAGTTACACTTCGCTTGCACGCTCTCTCTTGCTTGGCCTGCCGAATTGAAAGCATCTTCACGCTTAGTGTTTTTTTACCGCTTGCAGTTTGCACCGTCAGCAGGAGATTTCGCCGCTGTCATCGAGCCCCAGGACTCAGGACATCGTC